GCTTCTGCTTTAAAAAAGAAGCAGAAGCAAAATCAGTTCCAAACACCCCCTAATACTGATATACATGAAAGCATTAAACGAAACACAATTATAATATTATGGTCAAAATGAGATTACTAATTATTACTTAAAAGATCAAAACATCCAACAACTACGTCGAACACCCGTGCGATGCACGGTTGGTAAAATTTCATGTTTAATTAATTTAAATCAAATTTAAAATAAATAAAATTTTAATTTTAATTGAATCGTTTATGATTATACTCATCACCATAATAAAGTTTGACATAAAATGGAATACTTTTAATACGATTTATCAATGATTATACAGAAATACACAAACTTTTATAGTCACACTAAATAGTAAGTAGCATGCAGTGTAAATATAATTTGAAAACACATCACATTTGATGCTAAATGTTACAAAACACTTCTTTACACACAGTATTCTTTGTTTACAATGTATCATCGTTTAAAATGTTAATTTTTAATGCTCGTAATTGGTTACTTTTGATAAAACCGCGTAAACTTGATCATGACTAAAAAATATGATTTTAAACAACAAATCAACATGCGACAACGACTGTACGTGTTTGACTTGTATTTTATAATTGTGACATAATAAGTCATGTTTAAGTATTATCGCATCCAAAATAGGAATGACTATCTAACATCTGATGGTGTTAAGTAATGTCTGGGAATTGACACTTTTTGTATCGCACTAACCCCTGTTAAAATCCTTCCTTCTAATAAAATGTTTTGTTAGTAATTCACCGGCGCAATGAACAAATGATTTTTGAAAGGTTAATTCATTTCAAAGGTTAATTTATAATGACTAAGTAATAAGTGATTATACATTTATACGAATTGCATATTTAAACGAATTGTCTGTGTAAGTGGACAAATCAGGAGGTGCAAATATGTGAAAATGGGTTATGTTATTTTTAAATTATACTATTCTAAAAAATCGGGGGTGTGCGATTGTGATATGCGATCTCTAGTACAATTTACTTTAAATACAATGTCTACAAAGTCAGCAAATTTTCCCAAAAACTATATTACTCAAATTAGATATTTCCATGTTGATGGAATACTCTTACTTCTTGAATAGGAGGAATGTCAAGATACACTTGAAGGTGTTAGGTGAAGTCTAATAATTAACACTTTTTATCGACACTAAGAGTCCGTTTGGTACTCCAGTTTTTCGGCTTATCAGGCTTATCAGACATCTTTTTAACCAAATATGTAATTTTTCATTTCAGGCGCTGAATTGTGTAATAATAAGAAAAAGTAAGGTTGGAGTTATTTTTCTGACTGTATTGTCTGAAGTTACTATAGAGGAGCATTTTAGCTATTTTGCATACGAAGTATAATTTTTTCTTCATTTTATTAATAAAATATTTTTTCCTATATAATTTTTTAATGATAAGCTGAATCTGCCAATTCAGCCAAAACTTCATAAATTTCAGAAGAATCAATCGATTCAACCAATTTTGACATTACCAAACGGGGAGCCCAATTAAAATCTCATATAAGATGTCTTGCTAGTAATTTTAAGCTTTTACATAAATGTATTTTTAAAAACCTATATTTAAAATTTTTAATACTAAAATTGCAACTGATAATCAATGGTCTCGATTATGTCTATTTCAACCCTCTCTAAAGGGTTCTAAGAGCATCTCCAATGCTAAAATGTTGACGGTGCATACGTGGCATAGAAAATAACCAATTAAAAAACAATAAGTACAATATCTCTCTCCTTATTTGAAGGATCTTACATCATTTTGGTAAGTTTTTCTTGACAATGTCAAACACAATGTCTAGATGTAGAAATTGTGACTGACATTGCAGACAAAAACTTACCATAAACACATAAGACCGTGGAAAGGAGAGAGATATTGTATTTATTGCTTTTTAATTGGTTATTTCTCATGCCACGTATGCACCGTTAACGTTTTAGCATTGGAGGTGCTCTAAGGGTCATATTTATTAGCTGTATTTATTTCTAAGAATTTACCACATGCAGACATGCCATGTGTATTTCATTATATTTTTAAAATGAGTTTTTTTAGATTTTTCTAATTCTCATATATCTCACACTATCACCTTTCATAATGGTAAAATTCTTTTCCCACCACCCCTAGCTAGTTCTATCCCCTCTTCCATTTCCTTCACCTCTATCTGCTTACGCTCCACCGTTTCTATATGTTTTTTAAAGAAAAAAGTAGAGATTTTATTACTAATATGAGGAAGATTTGGTGTGCATGTGTGTGGGCTCTGAAAATCCCTCAAAAAATTAAAAAGCCCAAGATGGACACTGCGAAACTTGGGCCTGATTTAGTAATGCGAACAGTCCAAAATTTCAGGGGGTCGGGAATCGGGATAAACATACTAAAGCCAAGGAATGAGAATGTCGGCCTGATCAAACCCTAGCAGATGGCTCGTAAGTCGTAACCCAAGTGAGAGATAGGGTAGAGGAGCTAATGTTAGATCCAACGTTTAACCGGCGTCGCAGAATGGAAGGGCTTCACTTAAGTCCCTGAAGTAGGTCGTTGCTACTCCTGGAGGAAGGATGAGGACATCACAGGAGTGCGTCTGAACTGATGGTGCCCCGACTGTGCTAGGACTTTGGCTACGGTGTTGATCAATCCTGGGATGAGATGGAACTGAAGGTGGTGGGTGTTGCATGTGCGTCTGAAGTTTCAGCAGTTGTCCAGTTGAAGATGGTCGGGTAAGTTTTATGTTTCGGTTAACAAATTTCGGTTGAAGACGCTCCACCAGTTCTTCTTCACGTATAGGTGTTCCAAATTCCCCCCCCCCCCCCTCCTGATCTTATAGAGAACATATCTTAGATTTTTTATTTTGATGTTAAAGCATAGAATTTTACTTCGAATTCAACCATTCACATTCATCTCCACGTATAGGTGTACCAAATTTCCCCCCATTTTCCTTTTGATTTTCTCCAATTCCCTTTTATGGTCGAGGATTTGCGGTTTATTTGAACACTAAGTATCATTTTTTGATTTATTCAACTAATCTAATAAGTGAACTATTTCATCACATAGTGTTTTCACTTCTTTCCGATGCATTTGCTTTGAAATGTATATTTTTTTCAAAGCAATGGATCCAGATTTGTATTTTATGTTTTAACCTATTTTTGTTTTTAGTTTTTTTACTTATAAGAAATATGTATTATAGTTTAAAATGTCCTTATATTTATCTTAACTTCTATATGACCTTTTCTGTTCGTGTTTTAAAATGGTTGCGATTTTGGAAACCTTGAGTCCAATGTTTAGACATTTCAACAAATAGGTAGAACCAATTAACCTACTACAATAACCACTAAGTAACAACTATATTTTAAGTGGTTGGCAAATACTATAACTTTGTTGGAGGCTTGGAAGAGGTTTTCATAATCCTGGATAAGGAATTTCACTGGAACAACTAACCACCGGCACCGGAGTTTGGTTTTCCCTTGAACCCTGCAAGAGATGGTTTTGCAGTAGTCCAGTTTACACGGAGTAATATTTAAAGAAGGTAAACATGTCTCTAGATTTTGCCATTTGGTTCCTTCTTGGAATTGATAATTTAGCCTGATTTGGAACTTGAATAGTCTTATGTTTGGTTGCTTTGCTTTGTTATGACAATTTACACTTTGAAAATTTTATATAGATGAAACATTATTTATATACATACACAGACTATCAAATATACATTGATTTGCTGATATTAGAATATGTACTATTTGATTACTACTGCATCATTTACCATTGCATAGCCCATTGTTAGAAGCAAATTTTGCTATTCAAAGTCTACATGTGGGGTCAATACCCCATTAATGTAAAGTTGCCCCATTCTTTGTTTTTTTTCGTTTTAAGAGTGTAATTAACAAATTTTAAACTGCATTTTATAAAACTGATGCAAATTTTTACCTATTCAAATATAGATTTCATAAATATCTTTTGCTATTTAATCATAAAAAGTTTATTCATATAAGACCATACACATTCATATATTTTGTTATTAGTATGGAATATCTATTACTTCTGAGATTTTTTTTTTAAAATCGATCTTTAATTTTATTATTGCTTTGTTAATGACTTTGTATGATTCATTTTTTATTTGCTTGCATGGAAAAAGTCCAGTGAGTAATGTACATAGTCCAATATATAATTTTTCCAAATAACTTTTAGTTCACATGTAACACAATGATAAAACAAACAAAACCATGTCGAGTAAATTATAATTATTTATAAATAATACTATGTATTTACTAAGCTTAACACCTAAATTGAATTACAATTTCACTGAGATGCATTGATATGAGTATCTAGGGGCTAGAGATACACACCAAGGGCATATATTTAATACTCCGTATATTTATATACGGAGTATGTATTTATGTTTGTTTGTATAAATAAATATACTTTTATTCCTCTTAGATACTGATTTTTAATATACTTTACTATTTAGTTTTTTTTTTGTTATTACTTTACTATTTAGTTATAAGACTTGTAACATGTAATTGAAGGTTCATTTGTGTCGAGGAATACATTTGATCTTACACATAATACGAACTTGGTTCAATATGTTATGGCTTCTCTTGACTAAACAATACTCGGTATATCATAAACAATACTCCGTAGTAAATAGTGAAATGTTAATAAGAGCGCTTCTTAGTGATCTTCAGTAGGGCTGCTTCTTAGTGATCTTCATTCTTCAGTAGTTTTATCTACATTTGTAGCACACAGTTAAAATTTATAAGAATTGCATACATATGCAAATCTTATTCCTGATAACACTACTAGAAAAATAGCTATTTGCTGCGGTTATTTTTAACTATTTGCTGCGGTTCTGAACCGCAGCAATTGGCAGGGCAGCAAATAGTGGGAAAACGTATTTGCTGCGGTTCCGAACCGCAGCAAATAGCTACTTAAAAAAAATGGGTTTGACTTATTGCTGCGGTTACGACCGCAGCATATACTGTAAAAATTGGCGTCCATTCTTTTGTTTTGTTATCCTACCAAAATTAAAGCTCGTGTTTTACAATTTACACCAAAGAATATGTAGTTTACAGAATAAGAAGAAATCCTTTCAACAACTTCGTATCTCATCAGTAAAATGAGAATATCCCAAAAATTATTGAGTACATCACTAAAGTTAAAAGAAAAAACAATACAAATTTAAGTTTATCTGCCACTAACATTTACAACAAATTATCAAAAAATTGAAATATATGGCCAATTCCTTTCCTTGCAAACTTCACATTCTTCATCACCCGACAAAGGCTCTTTTGACGCTTCAATAAACCTAAAATATGAAACATTTACAATTATAATTAGAAAACAAATATCACAAATATTCAGATAAGATGAATCTAAACAAATTTTCTGAAATATTATAATTCAAACAAAACCACACATTCAAAACAGAAAACAACATAAGCATTTAAAGCAAACAAAATTATAGCAGATTGACTTGTAAAAATAACATGTGGAAAAAACAGGTGCACACTATATCTTAAACAAATTGAGATCAAATCACTTCTTTTCTTGTGAAAACAGAAACAACTCACCAAAATATTCCTAAAAATACTGTTGAATCCCCTCAAGGTGGACCAGTTCGATTTTAGAATCACAGTTAAAAAAATGAGCCAGGTTGCTTGGTTTTCATTCTGGATCAGAACCAATAATAAATCGTTCCAGTTCTGCCAAAATAGGACAAGAACACACAAGTTTGGATGTCAACCGGCTCAAGTCCACGTGTGGAGGAGAAGCAACTGGAAGACCGCAGTCCTCAGCGGAAACCTTCTAGTAGTGAAGCTCCAGGTTCACAACTTATTTTCCCACCATAATAAACAAAAACAGAAATGCTATTTGGCTGCGAATGGGTCAACTGTAAAAAAGTTGTTTTTAATAAGCCAATAAGGACACCATAGGATTAAGTATAACTAAATCACTTTTAATGCTAACATGCAACACATGTGCTATTAAAAATTCATTCTTGTATTCTCAATTCCAACATAGACTAGATCATGTTGTATCCTTGATAAATAATTTAAAGGAATTCTCAAATGTGCAAATAAAGTGACGAGTTTTTAGAATAGATAGTGCACCTTATTGCATCCAGGGACCAGGTAATGGAATTCTCATCCTTTCACTTATTTCCTCTCCGCGGGCCTGTATATTAAAGGAAGGGGTCCATACATTTAGAAAAAGTATGAATAATGCTAAATTTACATAATTACATCTATCATCAGAAACCGAATATATATTGGATTCAAGGAATCGAATTGAGCTTATGGAATTGAAATCTAAATTATAAAAAAATGGAATACCAATTCATCTACAATGGAATGAAGTCAAAATGTTAGTACATAAATCATTTTTAGATAGTGAGTGATTTGGGTAAAATTAAATCCAACATTCCTTGAATTCCCTAACATAGAATAACTGAAATCGTATTTTTCAAACATAACAGATGATTACTCGTTCGGCTAAGCTGTGACTGTCGGTTGCTTGGCCCCTCCTCCTAGCTCTGACATGAATGTAATCTTTAGGTGGTTAAACTAGCTTTTCGGCTCTTTCTTCTTGCCTTCCAGAAGTTCCTTCAACAGCTTCTTCAGATTTAGGTTATTGTTCAGTCTACCCGCCTTCAACCTTTTATTGTCTTCTTCACTCTGCTCAAACAGAAAATCGAAAGATAGATGCATCTCAGTTATCCAATTTGCTCAGAACAGAAAATACTTCATTGTTATGAGAAATTCCATTGAAGAAATAAACCTTAATCTGTGTAAGGTTTGAATCAAATGATTTATGAAAATAATCTCAAAAGTAGTCTAATACGGAGTAATTGTTCATAGTACAAAGGCTATTAAATTAAAGAGTTAATCATTAGTTTTACTCTCTCCTGTCTTTGCATAGACATTCATAGCATAAACACACTGATCACCATAACAGCTGTAAATAAGCTTAGTTTCCATTAAAGATGTGAGAACTAACTTGGAGTATCTTTCTATCAGTATCAAACTCACCGCAACCAATGAACATCTCTTGAGGAGCAAAATAAGCTTCAGGGCACCTGAGGGTCAGTCCATATTTTCGGAAGAAAGGTACTAGGTTGATACTAATTACATTCAATGATAATATCAACATTTTCATCCAATTTATAAATCGATTAAAATGAGTGATACTAACAAACTGAACAACGAACAATACTAATAACAATATCAATACCAAATAACAATATTCCTCTCTAATTGGAATTAATAATGCTCACACAAAACTTACTAAAATGAATTAGATTCGTAATGATGAACTACCAAAGGAGCTAGAAGTGGATTTCCATTGCATTTTTTTCAAAATGATAAATTCAAAAGTTGCATTAAAAGAATGACATATATCCATTTCCAAAATGCAACTTCAAAACCCTTCCAAACACGATTAGAATAACAATAGATAAACAAATAATGAAATTATTGTCCCGTTTTTTGGGTTTGTAAGCTTTAGGCATATAATATCGTATAACAATACAAACTTATTCTCACAATGAAGCTAATAAAAAAACATGAGAATAATTGAGAGAGTTTGGGTCTTTAAACTTCACGGATAATAATAAAGAACAACTAACCTTGAACAAAAGAACAATAATCAATTTCTTGGAGCTCTGCGTCGGCGAGGAGATCTACTTGGAGCTGTAGAGGCCGGCGACAACGAAGACCTGAAGCTAGGGCAGCGGCGAGGAGATGCGGCGGCGTCGACGATGACCTGCGGCTGCGGCGCTAAGACGTCTGCGGGAAGCTGCTGGGAGGGGGCTGGTTTTCATGAGGGTCTGAAGTGTGTTGACCTAAGGGGAAGAGGGGAACATCTAAAATGTTAACTGGTATTTGCTGCTGTCCTCCCATGACCGCATCAAATATGATTGAAAATTAATGTAGTTGTTGCGGTTCTCTTATACCCGCAGTAACACCGTAAAAAAAAAATTAAAATTCGAAAATTTATAAGTATTTGCTGCGGTTCATACACGACCGCAGCAAAAAGTATAAAATATTTCAACTTTTTGCTGCGGTCGTTGTAGAACCGCAGCAAATACATATAAATTTTACCTATTTGCTGCGTTTTTACTAAGAACCGCAGCAATTGGGTAGCAGCAAATAAGAAAAATTCTAGTAGTGTAAGTGATAACTTCATAGTATCTGAACTTTACAAATGGATCATGTTGTGGAGAGATCTTTATCAGGTTCTTTTATTATATTTTTATGACCTGCCAAAATAAAAATATACTTTGACATTAACTTGAAAGTAGGAGATCAGAACAAACATGGTATTCCATTGCATCCTTATGTGCAAAGGCAGGACCTTCCCTAAGTCTGTTAGCATTTGTTGTAGTCAAACAACATATAGCCTCAAATTAAATGCGTAATTGAAAAAGTAACATTAACGACTTTTTACCTCCTCAGGGATCCCAGTACAACCTGATGGATTGTCCAGGTTGTTTTGTTCTGATAACTCTTTTGTAATAGAGACCACATACCCTCCATCTTAGAGTTTTGATTCACTTTCTTATTTCCTCTTGCAGATGCGAATGAATGTGAGCATGGAAGAGCATTAGTCCTGCTTTTATAGGTGTAAACAACATGGGCAACCCAAGTCCCAACTACATTTCTGTGCGCAGGCTGCATATTAGGAGCAGAATGTTGCTCTATTTATAACTGCAGAACTAAGCTCAGCCAGCCAAACCCAAACACTGTGCACAACTCATTCAACCAATAGGAATTGTTTTTGGATTGGGGGGAAACTGTTCACCAAAATTTGAATTTTATGCCAAAGATTTTGTCCAACATATTTGCCCCAGAGAGTTATCATCCGGATGAATCCACTTGTGTATTAAAAGGTACTGTTTAACATAAAAAGTGGCCAATGAAACACAATTATGTGGCCAGGAAATCCTGGAAAAATCTACACTACTGCTCACCAGCTCATCCCAAATAAATAGACCAATGAAAAATCAGTTACCTTATTGGAAAATCTAAATCAAATCTTAACAGTAGCCAAACATGCTCCATTCGCATAGCTCAACTTTAGGAATCCTTAAATATTAAACCTTGAATTAAACAACAATTAACCACAAAGTACTGACAGTGATGTTTCTAAGCGGGAAAAGCAGCCCCATATTTATTTTGCTTTTAGATTATAATAGATGATGAGTTGGCCTATTTAATGTGATAAAAGTGATAATCAAATAGATTGTCTCATCATTGATTTATAATTCAGTTTTGCTATATATAAAAATAGATTGTCAAATAACAAAAAAAAATCAACATAAAATCTTTTCCAGCTTAAACATACATTTTCATTACTTAAAAGTAGCTCGTAAGAAATAATTAAGTTGATTTGGAGCCCGTTTGGTAATTTCAAAATCGGCTGATTCAGCCGATTATAGTGAAACTTATGAAATTATGGCTAAAATGGCTAGATTGATTGATTCTGCTGATTTATGAAAACATACTTAAAAATATTTTATTAGTCAAATAAAGAAAAAATTACATGAAAAATAGCTAAAATTGTCTTCTAAAATAACTTTAGCCAATACAGTCAGAAAAATAACTTCAATCATACTTTTTTCATTATTGCACATTTCAACGCGCAAAATCAAAATTTACGTGTTTGATGAAAAAGTTGACAAATAAGCCAATTCAGATCTTTCGATGCAATTGTTGATTTGTAATTGGGAGGGTGTAGAGTTTAGTTGTAATATTAGGGTGACGTACTATCGGAGTCCTATTCACTTGTACGATCTAAGATGTTTTTACTTGAACTGTAATATGCCCAGACCAGATCAGACCAGAACAAACCAGACCAGATCAGACTTGGATAGTTATAAAAAGACAAAGAAACCAGATCAGACCAGACCGACAAATTACCGTCCAAGTAAAAACATCCTTATTTTTTATTCAAAATATATTGTGGGTGCGGTTGGGTAATACCGTAATAGTGTGTTAGCTCCCAATTCAAATTAACACATGCGACAACAAATTATTATCTTTCGAATACTATGTTAATATTTCAATATATTTCAATAATATTAACAATTAATATGAGTTAGAAAATCATAGAATAGTCTTTCATCAATTGTTCAAATAAGTGATGCATTTAGGATCGATATCATGTTGATAATCTATAGTTATTATGGTACCGTACAATTAGCGGTAGATATATCATGTTGAATTTGATGATCTATTTGATCGTTTTTTTCGTATTAAGCGGTAGTGTTATTTATGTTGTTATTAATACATAATACTCCGTATTAAGTGGTAGTGTTATTTATGTTGTTAATACAATTATTAGAAAATTTTAACTCACTTTTGGTATGTGGAATAATGGATTTTTTTGTAATTATATATATATATATATATATATATATATATATATATATATATATAATATTGGTGTCATATGAAAGATCTTAAAAATTTATGAATTTTGATATATTTTTTTGTAAAAATTGGATTATAAATATGAAAGTTATATCACTTTAAAAAATAGAGATTTTTTCTCCTCCTTTTACTCTAAATTAGTTGTAGTGCACGATTTTGAATTGTGGTACGATGAACATTGAATTAATTAATTGTTTTAATAGTAGTGATAATAGAATTTGCATTTTTCAATAAGAAGCTGACACATCATCGTTTTTTAACTCAAGTTTACTACTCCCTCCGGTTCACATTCTTCTTTACACTTTCCTTTTTGTCAGTACCACATTCTTCTTTACACTTCCTTATTTGCCTTATTTGGCAAACAAATCTACATAAAACAGTGCCAAACAGTGTCCAACAATGTCCAAACAGTGCCAAACAGTCCGTAGTTGAAAATTAAAATTTTAGTCAATGCACTTAGAAAAGTAACATACATCTTATTTTTACTTAAGCTAAAGGATCAAATAGGCTCTTGAACTAACTTAAAGTGTTCAATTAGCCCCTTATATAGGAGGTTCAGCCTGGCCATCGCCAATTGGGAAGGTTCCCGGTGGAATTTTTTGATGAAATTTTTTGAGCAGCTTCTTCATTTAGTCTAGTTTACTCATATCAAATTTCAGCTAAAAATTCAACCGAGAAGGCAGTCAAATGATTTTTTTAAGATAACTGCGCAGTTAAACAGCGCAATACATTTCGGAAAATCATTTGACTGCCTTCCCGATTTAATTTTTATCTGAAATTTGATATGAGTAAACTAGACTAAATGAAGAAGCTGCTCAAAAAATTTCATCAAAAAATTCCACCGGGAACCTTCCCAATTGGCGATGGCCAGGCTGAACCTCCTATATAAGGGGCTAATTGAACACTTTAAGTTAGTTCAAGGGCCTATTTAATCCTTTAGCTTAAGTAAAAATAAGATGTATGTTACTTTTCTAAGTGCATTGACTAAAATTTTAATTTTCAACTACGGATTACAAGATTTCAATCATGTTTAAATCTTAACACTTGACACAACATTAGAGATGAGACCTTTTTCCATAAATATTACCAAATTAAATTTAAATACCAAAAAAGTTTGACTTATTTCAAATTTCCAAAAAATTGACATATTCTTATTCAATGGCTCATCATCTCGGAGTGATTTGTTACTCTTAAATACATAACAATGACTTTTGTTCTATTACTCATACACGGTGTGTACTGTGTAGTCATAGTTTTGTCCAAAAAACGTAATTAGTCAAATTTTGACTGAAAAAACTCCGTTAGTAAGATTCAATGTCATTTTTTTCAAAAGATAGGTAGATTCTATGATACTCATAAGGTACCATACCTTTGTCCACATGGACCAATAGAAATGTTGCAGTTGAATTATTTAAAATCTAAATTAAAAATGATAAAGTGATTGTCTAATCAAATGAATGATAGGTACGGTACCCCATTTTTTAAAAGGATACCAGAGTTATCACCACATTTTTAAAACTTTCAATCTCGTCTTATAAGCCGATAAGATACATATAATTAGACAAGAGATAGTACATTTTTAAAAGAATTTTACCAAACAAACCAGAGTAAAAAACAGAATATGAAGATAACTTTTGATGACATAATAATAAAGTGAAACATAACAGAACAAGGAATACATTTTGGTCTAATTTATCAAGACGACGACGTACAACAAACCAAACACCATGAGATGGAGCCAGCCTAACAAAAGCTTAATTAGGTAACCGCACACTCCATGTTTGGTCTAATTTATACGGAGTACAATCTTTATTTATTTATTTAATTAATTTATTCAGGAAATTAAAATGCTGGCCGGGATTTTGCATCCTTTATGTACCAAGCAAAAGGAGTGGTACATACGAAGTAAATTAAAAGACAATGAAACCCTATTAATAGTATCTAGCAAGGCTTTTTACAGCGGCAGCGGCGGCGCAATCCTTGGCAGTCGCCGTCGGTAAAGCCCTCTCCCTGACACACCGTCCTACAGTTGCTGTCTCGCAAACATGCCCCCTTGAACCTGCCGCTTCCGGTCTCACACATCCTGCCTTCCGCCACCATTCCGCCGCCTCCCATTTCTGCATCCATTAATTAAGTACATAATTAATTGCAAGCCCAATTACTAACAAATAATTTATATATACGACTAAAATAAATGTTTTTATAAAACTATGGTCTCCTAAATATTATGACTATCATTGTAACGTAATCATACATTAAATTAAGTTCAACTTTTATACTTAAATTACTACTTAGCATGATATTATAATATGGTAACTATTAGTCATATTTTTGTAAATAAGATGCATTTGAGTAATATTATTGAAAAAACTCAATCATTATTCAATTAATTAATAAACCATATATTACTCCGTATTATTTTTTCACTATGGATTATTTTTACTAGATCTACCATTCGGTCATCATTACTTTAAATTTAAAAGCTCTTTTAGCAATCCCCCGTTTAGCTTATTAGCCAACTATTTAAAGAAACATAACTTTTGATTTCACGTTGAATGTTGTAATAATAAAAAATTAAAATATAATTTTGTTATAAATAAATGGCCAAATTAAAGGTTGTTAGAATATATAAAATTTACATGATTAAAATGGAAATTGAAACCATATAAAAGTCAGAACAAAGAAGTGAAATAAAGTTTTTATAGCATAAAATGAAGATGAAACAATATGGTGATAGTAGATACCATGTATGAAATTAAAGTTGAGATAATTCTTCAAATGAGTAAATCATACGGAGTAACCTTAACACACTATTTCTTTCAATAGGAATGTATTATTTCTCATAGCAAGGTACATGCATTATTAATTTTAATTTTTGGAAAATTTTCAATGCTTTGTTGTTTGATTAACGGGTAGATCCCTCATTTCGGTCCGTTTTTAGTTTGTATTTTAATTTGCCTTTTCTTGTAAACTAAGAAAGTAAAGCTCTTATTATGATTGAAGAAAAATTCCAACAGAGGAAAAAGAAACAATATGAAGCATAAAAAATTTTTATAAATAAAAAGTTGAATTCATTTTGGAACACACGAAATTGAATGTGATAATGTAATAAAGATACTACGGTGCATTGAAAACCACTAGCTAGCTAGTTCGTGCAAGAAAATTAAAAAAAGTTCAAAAAGGTCCAATTTATTTTACTCCGTAGTAATTAATTGAATGGAAAATAAGAGTGATGACAAAAAGCTAGGAAGGCAAACCGGTGGCCATGAAAAGCATCACAAAGAGGAAGATAGCTGCGAAGGAACGAAGAGAAGGAGCCATTTTTTTTTTGTGTTTGAGAAAAGGATAGGAAGCTAATTTATGAAGCCCTTGTTTATATAAGTGA